AAGAAATTATTTGATTAGAACGATTAAATTATCATTCTAAAAAAAATGATAAGAAAAGCATTCAATTGAAATGATTAAAGTTATCATTTCAAATGAACGATAAAGAATCATTCAATTAGAATGATTAAATTATTATTTCAAAAGAACAATAAATTTAATCATTCCAAATGATCCAAAATTTTGGATTAATCTAAAATTTTCAGTTCAGTTCAGATTTTTATCAGTTTACAATTCAGTTCAGTTTCAGATTGACATTTTTAAGATTTATAATCTGAATTGAACTGAATTGAAATTTTCAGTTTAGTTTTAGATTAGCCTATAATTCAGACTGAACTGAATCATTCAGAATATTATTTGTAACAGTAAAAATTTCTAATTCTGTTTTGAAGGTTTCTTTACAGAAATTTTAGATTACAATAAATGCATGACTTTTTTTATTATACTTTTAAATTTTTTTGAAATTTTAAACTTATTTCCAAAATATAATTACATTTCAAATTAACAAACATTACATATATATATTGTATATAGATATTTTGAAATTATATGATTTTATGATAGAAGAATTGACAAGCTATCTAGACTTTAGAGAATGGTTTGATTGTAAACAAAAAAGAGTGAAATTAATGCTTCTTTTAGAAATTAGATAAGAGGTAATCTTAATATTGATAATATTCTTAATTGAATTCAATTAGAAGTGTAGATTTGATTTTGTGAAAAATTCAAATAAAGTTAGATTCTTTTATACAATTTGTTTAGCAATTTAGATGAAAAGTTCTTAAAAAATTTTAGATTAAGATACTGAACAATAAATCTTAAAAATCATTTTTAAGAGACATAAAATTTGTAAAATTTTAAATCAGGTAAGTAATATTAAGATTATTTTCATTTAAAAATTTCTTTTTTAGAAATAATATATTAATAATTTTTTAATGAAATTTTATAATTATCATTATTGTGAGAACAATGCAAACTTTTTTGGAAACTAAAAATCATACTTCAAGTTAAATGTTAGTTATTAAATATAAAAATAAAGATTTATATTCATATCTAGAGGAATGTTTTGTTGGAGAGATATTGTTATAATGTTATAGCAAATACTCACTTTATAGAAATTCATCTCTAACTAATAAATCTAAGGAATCTAGTATTACTAAAAGGCAAAAAGTAAGTAGTTGGAGGAATTGTGCATATTTATGAAAATAGAATAGTTCATGGTAATATTTATGAAAAAAATCTATTAGTTGAAGTTAAACAAGTTCAGTTGATATTCAATTAATAGAAAGATTCAAATAATTTATACAAAATTCTTCCATATATAGCTTCAGAAATCTTGAAAGGAATTCTACCAACAGACTTAGGTATTATCATATGAATACATTTTATAATAAACTACAAGATCTTAAATTGGCTACTAAAATCGTATATCTCTAATGCAATCCAATAGTTGTAATATTTATAAGTCTTCTATTCAATACAATATAAAATAAAATAATTTGTCATTATAAATATGAAGAGTATAATAAAAAAAATTACCAATGCATTTAAATTATTGAATCAAGTATTAAAAGACTGTTAAATTAATCCTTCAGGATTATAAATAACATTAACATCTTTTTCTCGTAATTTTTAAATTTTATTATTTTCCAATCCTTTTTATTATAATTTACTTCAAATTTCTTTGCAATAGTGAATACTTCTAATAATACATCCTACTGTAGCAATTACCACCTAATATTGTAACTTGATTATAGCAAATACTCATATAGTAATCAATAAGCAATAAAATATTTCATACTAAATATATGCAATAAATGACGTCTACGTTCTTCAGGACTAAAAAATTCATTTTTTGACTTTTGATAGAATTCTTGTTATACAGTATAGTTTGAGACATTTGATCATTTGGTCACTAGAGGCTGATCACTGAATTTATGGGATAATTTGCGCAAGTATTATAATAAATAGAAAGGAAGAGTGAAGAAAAATTAAGGCTAATAAACTACTTAAATACTATTTTCTCTGTGTAGCTCATCGATCCTTTTCAAAATCGCTTTGATCTTATTTACTAAAAAGAAGGAAAATGAAATACTAATTTAGCTGTCTCCGGTTAGCATAATTGATTATGCTTATTTTTGACATCTGATAGAATGACAAATAAACCTAACCCATCACAAAAAATTTCAAATCCTTCAAAAATATAATAAAATTGAAACACATAACCCTAATCCTAACCCTAACCTTTACTAAATCTCAATTATACTAGCATGCATTGTTATAGGGGTCTGATCTATTTCACCGACAAATATTTATTTTACTAATGAAATACTTTATCACCAGTATCATTTCATCGACACAATCATTTTGTCGACAAACGTTTCACTACCAATATTATTTCATTAACATGATCATTTCGTCGACAGTTTTTTTTTTATTAAATTTTATATTATAAATTAACCATTAATAGAAAAATAAAATAAGTAAAACTTCACATTTAAAAGATTATTATAATAAAAAAAGGAATTTTCTAATTCAGAGGTCATATGTTATTTATAGTCATTTACATATTTTATCAATATTACATATTAATGTAGATGAGCAATTAATAAATAAATAAAAATATTTCGGAATAAATAATCAAATTATTGAAAAATATAAATTATAGCATTTATTGTAATTTTTTAACTTACTAAATATATTTTTATTTTTTGGAATGTCGGTGAAATAATCGTCGGTGTAACGTTTGTCGGTGAAATAATGGTCGGTAAAATTAAAATTAAAAGTTTATAGTGCGAAACGCGCGAATCAACTGTGCAAATGTAGAATTTGACCATATCTTTCATGTTTCTTATGGCATACTAACAGTGCTATTAAATCATTTTTGAATCTTATACCTCCTCGTAACTTTATTTTAATAACAAACAACACATACCAATAATATGCATTCATAAAAATGTTACGACCCTTGAGATAGTTCAATTTTATGTTGTCCCGCAGTTTGACTAATATAATTTGGCCGTTGATTAAATATATGTATATATACCTGTCTTATATTTATATTTTGATGTAATAAAATAAATAAATAAATTTTAATAAACTCAAATAAAAAATTTAAATTTATGCGTCCTTGGAATTGAATGCCAATAATAATTAATAGAATATAAATCTAAGTTCACCGACCTTTTCGGTTCATCAAAAATCGCCAATAATATATCTGGTAGAAGTATGATTTTCTATAAAATTTTTTATTAAAACATAATTTTGATTGGATTAACTAAATTAACAGGTTGAAAATGGTTAAATAACACCCATCCTATCAATCAAACATACACATCTCATTCAAATAAAATGATTATTTATTACTTTAATTGATTATAATTTAAATTTAATTTTTGAATTTAAATAAGAATTAAGCGCGTGCTGCAGGCATACGACACGGATGCATAACTTCACCTCCAGAATGACCATTTAAAACCCTATATTGTATAAAAAATTTATTTAAATGAGCTTGCTTATAGATTGTTAGTTTAATATTTGATATCTTCTATTATAAATTACAAGGCTATTATTCTATTCCTTTAGAACCCCGAACAATACATGAAAAGTTAACAATACAGAGTTTGCGTATAATGAGTTAAAATTTTGTGGATCATTTCCTTTTTTGGATATTACACCAGCATTGCATAGTGTCGGCCCTGAAGAGATGCGTAGAGCTATTAGTAAATGTGTGCCGATTTCTTGTTACCTATTTGTATATTGCTCGAGGTCATATTTCTTTCATTTACCTCATATAGTTTATTATAGTACTTAAAAAATTATAGATCCATTACTATCATTCCCTTCCTAAATATCAGAGATAATGCAATGTAAAGGCGAATGTAAACAACCCTTATGAGAAATTAAGGAATAAGTTTATTACGAAGCTATCGATATAATAATTATAATAACTTTCTTTTTTAGGATTCAATAATTAACAAGTCCTATTTATAACATTTTCATAAATACCAAAGCTTAGATAAATTATTATTTTTAACTTATCGAAAATTTATTAGCTAATTATTATTATACTGGAAAAAAGGTTGTATTATGCAATATGAAAATTCAAGAATTTCAATAATTTTAAATTCATTAATTTAATAAATCTTTTGATAAATCCCAAAGAATAAATATATCAAATCTTACAACTCACTATTATCGCGAATAAATTGATAGCAATACTCATAAAGTTGATTGGCACTTGAAATTTCCGCAAATGTTTTCATTTCTTCTACGTTTGACATGTGAACTAATCGTGAGAGCCTCAATTCCATAAGCTCTTTCAAATAGTCTAACTTGTAATCACTTGATATCTCAAGTAGGTCTTTATACAATGACAATTTTGAATCTTGATAATTATCATTCAATTTTTGAATTGCGTCATCAATATTTTGGCCATATAAGATATAAATATTGTAACAAGATGCGCATCGAATTAGGTTGAATGTAATGTCCTTAAAAGTGAAATTAGTCGGACTAGATTCTGCCGACGCAAATCTTTAATAAAAAAGGTCAGAGCCTGCAGCGAACATAAATCGACTTGCTTTTATATTTTCACCATTCACAACAAAAGTTACGTCGTTTAAGGAAGATGTCTGATCAAATAGAAATGTAAACAAAGTAACTTTCATTATTATGTGATTAGTCGTGTTGCCTAACTTTAATTTGAACATTTGGTCGTTTTATTTCCCGAGCACCGGCACTTTTGAGCATGGTAGAATACATAGCAAGATCTGGATAATCATACTTCGCATCGCCAAATTCGCTGTTCAATACCAAATCATCCGCAGAAACCCAATTTTCAAGGTTAAATGGATGTTTATTTCTACGGAAATTAGGAATAATGGTTCGAAACAAATATGTTCTGATAAGTCAAGATCTTCATTTGAATTACATTCTTCATTCAGCCATTTATAAACCTCATATATGTTGTTTTTAATGCATCAGTCCAATCCTTCTTCCATACTTCATCGTACCGAAGTATTGAATACAAAAAACGGAGATGTCTTACTACAGTAGAAACATCCGGTTTACCAAATGACGGATATTTTTCGAGTACTTGTTGAGGTGGTATTACATCTTCCGCGATCAATGGCATTTGACTCCACGCGACTTCTCTATATGCGGGAAGAATAATGTTATTCAAGCAATCTAAAGATTGAGTGTTTATAGTGTAAGTTGTAAGATTGCCCCAAACTTTTGGCAATCGGGATGAATGGAATTCCTTCAATGCTTTCCAAATTTAAATCGTTTAAAATTTTTATATAGATGATCAACCAGGATGAAGCCTCGATAACGTATGTCAGATGGGGGTTCTGGGTCCATTTGCCTTTAACGGCAAACTTTTTAAATATCTCTTGACCGATGCTATTTTTAAATCCAATTTTCGATAAATTCTCTGTATATTTGATGAAGAAAGACACTAGAGACTCCTCCAAACACGGCTCAAAACACCAGCTTGTTATAATAATATAGGTCGGTGATTTTCTTTAAATTTTTTGTAATTCAATTGGGAAAACAGCGTTTATACTTTAAACCTTGAATAATTTGAATATATTTAAGTATGTCTTTTAGGAAATCGAGATAACAGCTATCATATTCCTTAGGAAATTCGACATCCTCAAAGGTATACACGTAGATATCTCGCGTGGGAACATTAAGAACGGTTAAAATTTGACAACTATTATTGTTACTTGCATCCAAAAAAATTGAACGAGTTTTTATTCGATGTTGGTGAAAGGAATTTGTCAAAATATATCCGCATGAAGCTGGTTTTAAAAGTTTCTTTCGATCTTCATCTAACGGATTATAACTATCAGTGATTGAGCATTCCGGGCGAGAAATCGTCAACCAAATGGGATGTGAACGGAGCAGTGACTTGAAACTTGGTTCTAATCGGAACTCTACATTAAAAAGAGAGAATTAGCATTCAAACAATATAATTTATTATTTAGGCGTGCAGTAGAAAAGAGGAAACTACAAAAAAAAAATTTATATGCTAAATATGATCCTTTTTTTAGTAAATAAGTACAGATTTAACATTAAATCAAAAAAAATATATAGTTTCTTCACTTTCTACTGCAAAGCGTATCAAAATAAGATAGTTACTCAATTCATTCCAGTTATTTCGTAGTAAATTACGAATATCCATAATATGCTGATATGATAAAAGTTCGAAGAGAATCTTCACGCGATCACACAGATTGTTACCATTAATCAATATTTCATCGTTTTGTAATAAATGTTAGAGTACTTTGAAACCGTATTCAAGTGCGTACTTTGAATAATTCCTATTAATGGACGGAAATGGAGATAGGATGGATTCTTTCTCTAGGTTCTCGTAATTCAACAACTTTTGCTATAAGATTAAAAAAAGGTTAGGAAGAAGATCAAGCAGAATATGTCTATTCCAATTGAGTTTTTGACGATCTATATCCGGCGAATAATCTCTTTCCATTAATAACCTTCCATGATCTGAGCCTTGAGTCAATGTTCCATTGAAATGAAACGGCAAACCTGTCGTATCAGATAACGAAAGGAAAGAGTATAATCTACCAATAAAGTCGCTCCGGTATTCGTTGAAAGAGCGATTACCATAGCTGCTATGTAATTCAGCAAAATATGAAGACGGTTATTATCATCTTTCGAACTTTTATATAATGCAGCAATTCCTCCTAATACGCGTAATCGATATCGTTCTGCAAATATTTTCATTTGAGAATCTTCAGGATTTGGTTGGGCACCGGTAACAATAATCCAATAGTCCTTCTGCACATCGTTTAAATCTTCAATTTGTTTGATCTCCATTTGGAAAGTTTGAATTTTATTGTTTATGACGCATTTTCTTTTGTTTCTCACATTTTCAGTCAATCCCGTTATAGTCGCTTTATAAAGTGAATTTATTTGTAATGGAATTGTTGCCTTAAGTATATGAGAAATTTCAATTGTTTCGATATGTCGAAGAAATAAAAATTGGGAGGAGATAGTTGATTTAAGGTCGGTGAACAATTTAAGAATTTGATCTGTAGTAAAAATACTGTCTGAAATATCACTTGGTTGTTTCCGAAGTGGCATTCGAAATAGTGTTCTTTGAAAAGTCGAACGGAAATCGATGCCTTCAATGCCTTCATAAGGAACCAATTGGTCCATTTCAGTATATCCTCCAATACCGTTTTGTGGAAAAGGTCCAATCATCCCGCGTTGAGTTACGCCCTGTCTTTTTGGCAAGTTTTTCTCTTGAGGATCTAAAAACGCAATTGAATCGTCGCTAATAAAACACGGAACATCGGTAAAGTGGTAACACGAGTTAAAACCTAACCCATGTTTCCCAATCTTTGAATCATCTCCTTGTTTTCCGCCAACACGTATCTGCATTAACAATTCAAAATTGTTTGACTTGAAAATAGCATTATTGTATATCAAAATGGCGGGGTCTTGCCAGGCCATCATTTCGTTGCAAAGCAGAGAGTTTGTGGGATGCGAATGTCCGTCGATGATAACATGAAACCGAGAAGCCCCAGCGTCATCGGCTTTTTTTTTTTTTAAGAATGAGAAATGCGTATGATATTCAAGAAATTCGACGCATTTTGCTTACCATTTTGAAAGAATTCTTTAAGTATGCTTTGGCAGGGATAATCTTTTAGAATATTAAATGTATATAATTTTAATAAATGTATTGAAATATATAAATTCATATTCGTTTACAATACAATTTCAAATATACCTTTATAATATTACGAATGGAAGAAATGAGAGTCTCATTTTTTGCCATAAGTTTGGGAAGTTGATTTCAAAGACATTATTCCTGACCTATAGAAAGAAAGAAAATTTTGAGCTTTTATAATCTATATTTGGATTTGGCGTTCAAACAATTTATGTTCCTGCTGATTTTGGCGTATATAACGTATGTATTATGTAATTATTTTCGTATTTTTATAAGATGACATAATTCACACGAACCAAATCGATTGCCAACAATATTCTTAATTAAAATAAATAAAACCCATTCATTTGATGGCCCTCAAGATAGTAGTTCTGAGAACCGCTAGGAATAAATATTAAATCCTCCCAAAATATTTCGACAGGTTTCAATTTTCTACAATTGGTAGTTTTCAATATTACAACATGCAACCCTATCACATTAAGTTTTCCATTCCATGCTATACAAAGATTTGTTTTTTTGGGGGAGTGGAGAATATCATAAATCGTTAGATTATACAAGTAAAAGCCACTTAATACTCGAAATTGAAAGACGTCAACAGGGTAATTGTAATGCTTTTTTCAATATAAAATTATTGTAACTTTCTGGTGACTCATGTAGCAATAAATTATTGTTCCAAGAAGTTTGGCAACTTGTACAGCTACATACTTATACCAGCAGTAAGTTTATCTTCATCTTTTTTGAAATAATCTCCTTCAAACCTTCGACACGTTCTATTTCATAATTGAAATTTTAATTTTCTGCAGTCACGAGACATTTAGCGGTTTGGCCGACTTACATAGCGTCGCCTGAAAAATGGTAGCCGGATTTTATTTGTCGTGTATTTATTATTAGGGTTAGTATTAGACTTAGGGTTAATATTAGGATTAGAATTAGGATTAGGGTAGAATTAGGATTAGTTAGGGGAGGTTAGGAATTTGTCACATCGCGTCACTAAGTATTCTGGGGACTTGGAAATTTTTTTGTGAGAAAAATGCTGATTGTCAATTTCACCTCTAATTAGTATGTGACCCGGCAAATATAATCCGGTTACCATATTCTCAGGAGACGCTAGGACGCTTTTAATTTCGGCTGATGATTTATTTAATAACATGTAAAACAATACTTATTTCTTTCTATTCATTAATAAAATAAATAAATCGTTATAAGTAAATAAAAAAAGGTATAGCTCATGTCATGCTTATCTTCAACGTCTTTGCAAGAATCAATAGTCTTTTATTTTTCGAGTTATATCTTATACAATGTATACCTAATAAAATATAATGGGAATATCTAATGAATCAACCAATTTTTTTGCTATAGACATTAAAGAATACATTGGAATTATCAAAATTAGTGTATAGCCATTATACTATATACTACTATCTGCAAAGACTGCAATTCTGATTTATAAAATGCATATTCTGGCATAAAAATTTTATAGTGCCGACCTGAGCTAAATTTTTAAGCTCAAATGAAATATGAAGACTTTGTTTTGTATAATACTGTATTTTGAGGTCCCACACTAAGACCAATGCATTTTCTCTGACGACTCTGCTACATAATGTGTTCGATCCATATGAACAAAATGTCTTATTTTTAGAAGTTAATATTATAAATGACCGTACCGTCGATGAAATTAACGAGATATATGCTTTCTCTCTTTTACCAATTATTGAAATAGCATTATATTAATGATATCTAATAATTTTGCTTGCACGGATAAACGATGGTTATCGCGCTTTAGGCAGATACATATGTTTCTGAGGTTGTTTACATTACCAATGCAATAAATCTTTATTTGGAAGGAAAAGAATGTAAAGGATTAATGACTTGTTATTGAACTTTATATGTAATCAAAGGAAGGAAATTACAGAAATTACATAGATCTAGTACACGATATCAATAATATGCGAAAACGTTCAGCGTGGCGTGGTAATAGGACAGGATTATTATTTGGTAATAATTGGGGAAACTAAAGTTTCTGTAAAGTAATACTATAAAAACAAAGAAACTTATAAAATATATGAAGAATTAAGCATTTGCATATTTTCTTTCAAACGCTCATTAAAGATATTAGTTATTCAAATATCTTTAATTATGCAAAACCTGAAAAGCAGTGATGGAAAAATTTGTAGCAATTTCATTTAAATAAATTTTTGTGACAAAATAACAAAATATGACGACTTGACTACCAAAATTAAACAAATTTATTTTTTCTTTTTTTTAGAAACGCTATCTACATTTATATATCATCAATTCCTAACGCCACTATTATCAGGAGTAAAATGATAACAATATTCATTGAGTTGGCTGGCATTTGAAATTTCTGCAAATCTTTTCATTTCGTCTACGTTCGACATGAAAACTAATCGTGAGAGCCTCAATTCCATAAGTTCTTTCAAATGATCTAAATTATAATCATCTGCTAACTTAAGCAAATTCTTGTATAGTACCAAGTCTTGAGATTCATCGGTATTAGGTTCATCTCTAAGATCCACGTTAATATTTAAACTTTGTCGGTTTTGAATTGCGTTATCGATATTTTGGCCATACAAATAGCGTAAAAAAATGCGCATTGAATTAGGTTCAATGTTCTCAATAGTGATCGTGACTGGGTTAGTAGGACTTAATTCTTCTGAAGTGAATTTTTGGTTGAAAAATTCAGAGCTTGCAGCGAGCATATATCGACTTGCTTTTATACTTTCACCATTCACAACAAAAGTTACGTCATGCAATGAGCATGTCTGATCAAACAAAAATTTAAACAACGTACTGTTGTTATGATGTGATTGGTCGTGTTCTCTGACATTAATTCGAACATTTGGCTGCCTTATTTCCCGAGCACCGGCACTTTTAAGCATGTTAGGATATCTAGCAAGTTCTGGATGGACATATTTCACCTCATCAAGTTCACTGTTCAAGACTAAATCGCCTGAAGTAACCCAGTTTTCAATGTTAAATGGATCTTGGTTTCTATTGCAATTAAGGAATAATGGTTCGAAACAAATGTGTTCCGATAAGTTGAGATCTTCATTTGAACAACATTCTTCATCCAGCCATTTATAAACATCGAAAATGTTGTTTCTAAATACATCAGTCCAATCCTTCTTCCATACTTCATCGCTCCGAAGTATTGAATACAAGAAACGGAGATGTCTGACTACAGTAGAAACATCCGGTTTACCAAATGATGGATATCTTTGAAGTACTTGATGAGGTGGTATTACATCTTCCGCAATCAATGGCATTTGACTCCACGCGACTTCTCTATATGCGGGAAGGATAATGTTATTCAAACAATCTAAAGATTGAGTATGATTATAGTGTAAGTTGTAAGGCTTTCCAAGGCTTTTGGTAATTGGATAGAATGGAATTTCTTCAATGCTTTCCAAATTTATGGCGTTAATATTTTTATATAGATGATTAACCAGGATGAAGCCTCGATAACGTATGTCAGATGGGGGTTCTGGCATTTGTAATAATTCCTTGACTTTAACGGCACACCTCCTGAATATCTCTATATCTATCATATGTTTAAATCCAATTGTCGATAGAATATTTTTAAACTCGGAAAATTCGGGATGTAGAAAGACACTAGAATCTCCGCCAAACACGGTCCGAAAAACCAGGTTGTTATAATCGTATAGGTCGGTGATTTTCTTTAATCTCTTTGTATTTGCATTGGGAAAACAGCATTTATCATTTAAATTTCGAACAATTCGATAATCGTTAAGTATGTCCTTTAGGAATTCGAGATAACAGCTATTATATTCTCTAGGAAACTCGACGTCCTCGAAAGTATACTCAAAAATGGTTCGCATAGGAACATTAAGTTGAGTTAAAATGAAACGATCATTCTCGTCCGTAGCATCTAAATAGATTTTGGAAGTATTTATTTGATATTGTTTGATGTTGTTTTCTAAAATAAATCCGCATGTCGCTGGTTTTAAAGGTACTGGTTCTGAATTTCCATCTAATGGATTCAAAAGAACTTTCCAAATAGGAAAAAAGCGGACCAATGACTTAAAATTGGGATTTGCTTCTGTACATAAAACAGAATAAGCCACTTCACGTAATAATTTAAATTATAATGTTATATAAAATTCAAAGAAATAAATACCTATTCCATACCAGGCAATTTGTAGAAAGTAACGGAGCCCTTCAATTTGTACATCCAATAAGAACTCGAATAGAGAGTTTACGCGGTTCTCAATGCTGCCATCAAAAATGTCTTCATTTTGTATCATATATTCGAGTACTTTGAAACCGAATTCAACCACGTAATTAGAATTACTTTGGTCAGTGAGTGGAAATGGCCAGAACTTGGAGACAGGATGAATATTTTCTCTAAGATCCATGCTCTCGATGCCCAAACTACGCTCCCTTTTTTGCATTTCTACGGCTTTCTTTATAAGCTTACAATATAGTTTCGGAAGGAATTCAAGCATGATATGTCTATTCCAATTGAGTTTCTGATGATCTATATCCGGCGAATTATCTCTTTCTAATAATAACCTTCCACGATTTGAGCCTTGAGCCCAGGTTCCATTAAGATGAAACTGCAGATATGTGGTATCGGGTAACGAAAGAAAAGAATATAATCTACCTATAAAGTCGATCCGGAATGCTTTATAAATTTCTCCATAATCGATCCGGTTATTATCATCTTTCGAACTTTTATATAATGCAGCAATACCTCCTAATACGCGTAATCGATATCGTTCTGCATATTGTTTCAACTGAGGATCTTCAGGATTTGGTTGGGCACCGGTAACAATAATCCAACAGTCCTTTTGCACATTGTTTGAATCTTCTTCAAATTGTTCGATCTCCATTTGGAAAGTTTGAATTTCATTGTTTATGACGCATTTTCTTTTGTTTCTCACATTTTCAGTCAATCCCGTTATAGTCGCTTTATAAAGTGAATTTATTTGTAGTGGAGTTGATGTCGAAAGTATATATGAAATTTCAATCGTTTCGATATGTCGAAGAAATAAAAATTGGGAAGAGATAGTTGATTTAAGACTCGTGAACAATTCGAGAATTTGATCTGTAGCGAAAATACTGTCGGATATATCACTTGGTTGTTTCCGAAGTGGTATTCGAAATAGTGTTCCTCGAAAAGTCGAACGGAAATCAATGCCTTCGATGCCTTCATAAGGAACCAATTGGTCCTTTTCAGAATGTCCACCAATACCATTTTTAGGAATAGGTCCAATAATTCCTCGTTGGGTACTATCATGTCTTCTTGGCAAGAACTTCTCATGAGGATCCAAAAACGCAATAGAATCGCCGCTTATAAAACTCGGAACATCGGTAAAGTGGTAACACGAGTTAAAACCTAACCCATGTTTCCCAATCTTTGAATCATCTCCTTGTTTCCCACCAACACGTATCTGCATTAGCGAATCAAAATCGTTTGTCTTGAAAATAGCATTATTGTATATCAAGATGGCGGGGCCTTGCCAGGCCATCATTTCGTTGCAAAGCAGAGAGTTGGTGGGATGCGAACGTCCGTCGATGATAACATGAAACCGAGAAGCTCCAGCGTCATCGGCTTTTTTTTATTTTTTATTTTTGATTTTTGATTTTTGATTTTTGGAATAACGATAAACATTGTGGTATGATATTCAAGAAACTATACGTCTTTCACTTACCATTTTGAAGGAATTCTTTAAGTATACTTTGGCAGGGATAATCCTAGTAGAAATATTAAAAATATATAATATTAAGATCATTCGTTTATAATACAATTTCAAAATATCGAGGGCACACCTTAATAATATTACGGATGGAAGAAATGAGAGTCTCATTTTGACCGTAAGTTTGGGATGTTGAGCTTAAAGACATTATTACCGTCCTATAGAAGGGAACATTTTTTTTAAAATCTTTTTATAATCAAAGGTCCTGATTTTTTTGGCGTAAAAACGTATGTTTCGCGTAATTATTTTCGTCATTTTATGAAATATTTGTGGTGACGTAATTCACTCGAACCAATTAGAAATGAAATCGATTATCAAAGTTTAAACAAAACAATTTATTTTGGGCAATAAATACACACTACTTATTTTAATGGAACAAATCTACCATCAACCATTTCCATTCTTTTTTGGCATAATGTTATTTAAAGTTTACTAGACCTAGCACCACTAGGAATGATAATAACTTTACCATAAGTCTTCCTACTTGCAATAGCTTTTAAACCATCTTTAACACTATCCAACCCAAAAAAAATTTTTTCATAAACGACAGATTTCAATTTTCTACTAGCCAACAAATTTAATAAATCATTCCATACTTCTTCAATACGTTCTGGCTCGTTTTTCGTATATGCACCCCAATGTAACCCGATGACTGAAATATTCTTAAGTAATACGAGGTTTAATGGTAACTTTTCAATATTACCACCTGTAAACCCAATCACGATGAGTCTTCCATTCCACGCTATACAAAAATTAATTTTTTTTTTTTTTTTTTATGGTGAATATCGTTTTGTAGAATATTATTAATATAATTAAAAAGGAATCACGTTAGATCATACAAGTAAAAATACACGGAAATTGAAAAAGAAATAAAAAGATGAATTACCAATGCATTTAATAGAAGATTGAATTAATCCTACAGGATCATAAACAACGTCAACGCCTTTTCCGCCCGTAATTTTTAATACTTGTTTTTGCCAATCTTTCTCGTTATAATTGATTGTGTAATCTGCCCCAAATTTCTTTGCAATGGCCAACTTTTCTGATGATCCTCCTGTAGCAATAACTTTTGCTCCAAGAAGGTTGGCAACCTGCACAGCTACAATACCGACACCACCAGCTGCACCATGTACGAGGCACCATTCATCTTTTAGTCATAAAAAGAAAATATATATTCATGAAAGAAAATTAATTAACATTATACTGTAATAATAAAAAAATATAAAAATATAAATTAAAAAATTAAAATTAATTACCTTTTTGTAATTTTGCTCTAATAACCAAAGCAGCATAACTAGTAGGAAACGTAACAAATAATCCTGCAGCCTCTTCAAAACTCAACCCATCAGGTATTAAGTATACATCACTACTTAATGCGGCAACACGTTCTGCAAAAGATCCTTGTGCGCTACCAAATACTTTATCTCCTGGTTTAAATGATTTTTTACAATTTTTCCCTGTTTTAATCACAATTCCAGAAAACTATGATCGATATAAAGAATTATTTTATCATTGAAGAATGTGGATGATATATAATTGAAAATTGTTAACATATTATTATTACCTCAATTCCTGGCGTAAATGGAAAAGGTGGCTTAACTTGATATTTTCCTTGAACCTAACAAACGGGATTTTTTTTTTTTCATTTTTACCTCAATATCATCCATTATCGTGATATATACAATACAAAATATGTATCGTTAACCACGCTAACATTCAACATTTACCTGTAAAATATCAAAAAAGTTCAAAGCAGCAGCTCTAATCTCAACCAAAACTTGACCATCACCTAAATTTGGTTCAGGTGCATTATCATCAATCTTCATTTCATCAACATCTTTTAACCAATTATTTATTACAATAGCTTTCATATTTAAATGATTTTTTTAAAAACAAATTCGATGGGAAAAAAAATAACTGCTATTTATATTTAGATCTTCATACATGACATGATAACCACATTATTTGACTAAACAGGACAAGGCCAATTACCCTCAACGATTAAATTGGCGCCAACTGTAAAAACTAACTATTTTTGCAAAAAAAGGCCTTATATCATCAATTGCTATACTAAAGATTTTTATTTCTTTGATTTTTTGGGACTAAATACCAAATGCTTTTCATAATATTCAATCACCTGATCAGATAAAAAATTTTTATTTAGATTTCCGATACAATATATATAGTCCGTGAAAAGTGAAAAAAATCATACCTTTTGCGGACATTTAGTATTTACAACTGCATTATAATGTTTAGTTAGTCTTCCATCCTTCCTAAAAAAAATTAAAATGTTAAAATTAAAAGGTTGAATTGATATCAAAAAAAAAAAAAAAAAAAAAAATGAATTTGTTACCATAAAATATAACAAACAACTTGATTATTTGAATTTTTTATCATTCCTCTCACTTCGACGACTTCATTTTCCCAATCTATATCATTATTTTCGTTTTCATATTGTCTCTTCCGTTTGCGGTCTTTTGATTCTTTCTGTTTCTTATCTTTCTTTTCGAGTAGCTCCTTATTCACCATTGGATCACTAATTTTAATGATTTCATTTACTTTAGTTAAACGAATTAGATTAAATAAAAATTAAATTCTTACATTTTATTAGCAATTATCCACTTTGGTTTCCTTAAAGATTTATATTTAACCAAATATTGAACCGCCGCCTAATATTTTGAGCGCAAAAGATTTAGTGCATCTTACACTAAAAAAAAAAAAAAAAAATTAATGATTTACATTTCGATATTTAATTTCCATTATCTCATCCATATCAGACTCATGAAGATTTGATTCTTCCTCAATGCGACGATCCACCGCTTTTCCCTTTGAAATGGTAGTTAATGTATTATCCGCAGCATGTTTAGAAGTCGATTCATTTCGAAATACTATATGTTCCTGAGAAACATGATTTACTATCTCCTTTCCCGTATTCGTATTTACTTTATCATTATTTTCATCCTTTATGTCTTTACCATTCACAACAATACTCTTCTTTTCATCAACGTTCGGAATATTGTACGCATCTTTTGTAACAAATTGGATTTCACCAGATGATAATAATACAATTTCTTCTATTTCACCGTCTGTTAAGTATTCTTGCTCTTGCAATTTTGCACCTTGACTCATTGAATTATCCTTGACTTTATTTTCAAAAAATTCACGCATATCCTCAACATTAGTTGCTTTGTAAATCGTGCTTTCTTTATTATAACCTGTAGTCCTGGTTTCAGCATCCTTAGTTTTTATATCGGTTGCATCACTGTCACATCCATGTAAAACATTTACATCCTTGATATGGATTGGTGAATTATCATCGTAATTAGTATCACCAAATGATTCTTGGTTCTTTGGGCTAGAAAGGATGTCAGAAGGAACGTATTTATACTGTTTTTTCTGCTTTTCCGTTAAATTTGGTACCAAAACATAGGGAATTTGATTTTTTTGATTGGACATTTAGGAAATTTTCTTATCATTAATATAAAAAAAGAGGAAAGAAAAATTTAACAATTAAATTTTCATCAAAATAAAAGGTTTTTCTTTTTTTTTTATAGACAAATTTAATTATCAACCTTCGGCATAATTTAGTATAATGATGTATCA